ACCTTAAAGGGTCATGTCACCACCTACTGTAGTGGAGGTGGACATGCTTTCATGGTTTGATCAGAAACCACGATACAAGTATATATCATGCCCATGATAGCGACCAGGTTTTTCTGTGTGTGCGCAAACACCAAATATGATCAAAACTGGGATAAGGCTCATAACCTGTTTATCCGAGTCCATGTAAATGTGCTCAATGTACACACACTCGTTGACCCAGCTGCTGGTTTGTTCATTTTCCCGCTCATCAACTGGATCAATCTGGAACCTTCTCTCAATGAAGTTCAGACAATACAGGCGGTGCAGAATGAAAAGGTAAGTCAATACAAATATTCCACCTACTGGAATAAGTTGTGTTAACAGAATGATATTGAACTACTTTTATAGGAACTGATCGAAGATCGTTAGAGGACGGGTTTTTATTGAGTGCCTGTTATTAACCTGCCAACAAGCTTGAAATTCTTTCCTAGAGCTTGTTAGTCTACATTAATCATCTATGTAACACTAAAGGAGACCTATAATATTCATCTTCACCTTTCAATATGTCAATCAGGGACACACACAGAGTAGCTTTGCAGGATTTTCAGCTCAAAATTATTCCTCTGTAGTTTGTGCTACTTTTTACACAGCTCGGTGATCACAGAAAACATGTTGGAATATACTCTCAAGAAAATGTCTGATTTACTTTTGGACTTACTTTTTTGCAAAGCACAATTTGGCAATTTAAGCTCACATTAAGACATCAGTTAGGCCTGTAATCAGCAGGTTAGACGGTACTCCTTTCCTTGCTCTGTCTTCCCTCAGTAGTCAGTTCATACTTATACAGGCCTGTGGGTAGAACTGTAAGTTGTGGAGAATTTAAGATTCTGGGTTTTCTAAGTTTTTCAGGTGGGCATGTGTGAAAAAGCTTCAGTCTTTTGAAAGCTTTTAGGCTTGTTACATCTGACAGGCTAGCTATATTGTAATCAACTAATTATGGCTCCAAAACCACAAATTTAACACTAAAATACAAACGACAGAGACCACAACATCTTTCAGGGCAGCTCCAAATGCTAGCAGAATACAATAGTGGACACGAGACTCCCATTTGACTCCTTTCATGAGGTCAATCACCATTAACCCCGTCAGACTGACAGACAGACTGACAGAAAGAGCCGCACACAGATGGGTCAATGACCACACAGCAGCTAATCACAGATGGTCCTGCTGATGGGCGCTGGGTTGATTGGGGACATAAAACAAAACATTATGAAAGCAAACAGATGCATAAACAGGAAATATAAACAATACAAGGGTGTCTGGAAAATGAGGATTCATCTGTTGGGAAGAGGCTGCCATCTAAAGGCAGATACTGGGAGGTTTCCAGTCCAGTGTGACACATTTTCTTGTAGGTAGTTAATTAGTCAGAGGAGCTGTATTCATTACAGCAGCCAAGAAATATGCTAATTAATTAGCATGTTGTCACCACATGCAGGCACATATTGATATCCTGCAAGCAAATAATGACATAATCATAATGCTGAGCTGTGTAAAAAGACTGGATCCGGTTTATCCGATCATTTCACATTGATTTGACACAATAAGTATTATAAACAACAGGGTTGTCATGACAACAGCCTCGAGCAAGAGGTCTGGAAAGGCTGTTTCTGTGCATTGTCCATACATTGATTGAATTTTGCTCTAATTCTCTGGCCAAATGTCAATGAACATCACTTCTTTCCAGTGAATAAACATCTTTTTTTTCTTCCATTCATTAATCAGAGCAAGCTTTAGAAACACCTTTAACACCATCTTTATAAAGGTCTTGGATGCCACTATTTAAAATCTAAATTAAACTAAACTGACCACCAGGAGTTACTGTAAAGATCATACAAATGGCAAAAAGTTAATAATATACTTTATATTAAGTAGGAATTGCCTGAACAAGGTGGATCATCATTTTATAATAAAGACAATCACACAAAGACTGTGCGCTTATCCACACATAGCATGAAGTCAATTTTGAGAGATAGAAACGTGGCGACATCTAGTGGACAGTCAGGGCATGGTGCAGAAATATCAGTGTCCAATTTTGCTCATTGGCTAAGGTCCAGTTTTCAAAAAAAAAAAAAAGAAAAACAGATATGTATGTTCAAACCTGTCAACAATGAATTTGTCTCTATGTAAGTTCAGAATTTTCCAATTATTTAAGCAAATTTTATTACTTTATGCAGGTCAAAGAGTAAGAACAGTTCTCCACAAATCTGCACAAAAATAATTATTTGTTATACCAACAATAAAAAATCTCTATCTCTGCCTACAGAGAAGCTCCAATCAGGGACTGGACTGACCCTGCAGAGTTAACTATTCAACTATGTGCATCAATCTCTCCTCTGTCCATCTCTTTCTCCCTCCATCTTACTCCCTCCCCTCTTTGAACCCAGTGCAGTAGTGGAAGATGACTGTCTAGCATGAGTCTGGATCTGATTGAGGTTTCTGCCTGTTGAAGAACTTCTTCTCTGCTTTAACTTGCTGAATGCTGCAAGTGTTACACTCATGTAGTTGAAGATGGGATGGGAATCATCAGGAATCATCAGTTGTGACTGTAATGGTGAAGTATCTTAACATTTTGACCTGTATGGCCTGATAATAAGAAAACTTTTTAATTTTATTGGCAGTGGCTGATACTCTGTCAGTAACTCAAATGTTTTGGTTGTCTTACTTCCTTTTGCAAACATAAAACAGTTTTAATATACCTGTAAATCACTGTGAGCTTGCAAATACACTAAAGAGAAAGTTAAGACTGCTTCGGAAATGGGCCAAAACATTTGAACAAATCTGTAAATTTAGCTATAGCAGCTTTGGATCATTTAATCCTCATTACACTTCACTATTACATAAGAACGTGTGAAATGTCAGTATGAGATTTAAAGAGGCTTGAGGTGAACATTGCATAAGGACCTCAGGAGGTCATCAGTGAATATCTAGGTCAAAATGTTATCTAAGATGGAGGCCAAGCCACACATGATGCAAGACAAAAGTTTCTTAATCATTACAAGTGTATTGAACTGTATTTGTTCCTTTTTCAAATACTTAGACTACTACCACCACTATGTTGTAAATGTAATTAATAGGCGGACACAGGTCCATGCTACATGGGGCTTTTCCATGGTGTTATTTTTCTGGTCAGAATAGTTTCAAGGACTGGCAAAGGCAGCAGAATCCCCTCAGTTATGTTTGAACTGATGTTGAAATAGTTTCACTCTTAAACTGATGCCTCTTTCTGACCTACATGCATAGCTATGTTTTTATCAGGACTTAAGGTCTGTATTAAAGTTCCAAGTGTGTCATGTTTCTCCCACTGACGCCACAAAGCATCTTGACACGGCACAGTAAGAAAGGCGCAGGTGTAAATAATTAAGTCATGACTGAATTCCAGCCAACTTTTCATAAAATCTTGATGGTGTTTGGGCTGGACTCGATTGTAGGCCTACTAAAAGTCAGTGTTCTCATTCAAATATTGCTGAACAGCACCACCATGAGATTGACTACAATAGAGTTAGACTGCATAATACAGCTATTCCCAAATGTCTGAGCACATTTCCAGAAGCAGTGGCTTTATTTCTCAAAACTCTAACCACAAACTGAAAATATATAACCACAAACCTTTTGCAAAATGCAACAAAGCCTCCAAAGCCATACTCTCTCCTCTTAACACTGATTCTTTCAGCCAAAATATAAACATAAATTCAAACCCATTACCTACATAAGTGTTGATTTGAAATTTCCACTGAATTGTGAAATATTCTCCATTTTGATAAACATTATTGAAACTATTTTGCTTAAGTTTCTAAATAATAATGAGTTAAGTCTGGATCAGCACCCGTCTAAAACTGTACAAATATTCCTTTGTTTGAAGGGGGGGTTATTTATTAAAAGTAGAGCTCATGGGATGTTGTGTGCCTCTGTAAGATGAGTTTGAAAAACTGGTATTAATTTATATTTGTTTGAACTTTGTCACATACCCGCAGCTTTAAAAAGCGCTGATTAATTATAGTAGGCTACTTTTAAGACTACATTATGAAGATTGCTGCTTGCTCACAATTTGGATGAGTGTTAATGGTCAGGTATATGTGCACACACAAGGAATTTAACCTCAGTAAACTTTGCTCTATGATTATTACAATTATATGTACAAAGCTCCATTAAACATTCAAATTAGATAGTCAAGACTATGAAAGAGAAAAGTGCAATGTGAGGAGTGTGAATGAAGCTGAATGACAAAAAATATTTAATGCAGTTGTTTTCAAGCTGTATGACGAAGCAGCCTTTGTTTACATCTAAATGGTGACTTTGACAAAAAATATATAATCTTGCTGACTTTTGAGACTTAAATGTATGATCTATTCTGCATAATTGATGATGAAATTTCAAAAGCAGGGCTGTTTCTTCAGGTGTTTAGCTGACATATACCTCCTCACACTAGTTCAAGTCATTGATAATTAGATTAGGAAATAAAAACACAAGTCTTATTGCTGATGGTCTTGTTTGATTTAGGAAGTCAGGAAAAAGGTATTAATATGAATTAATACCTAAATATGCAGATGTAAATCCACATAATTGTATGTTTTTAACTTTACAGTATTCAGGTCTGTGTGCATAGGTGCATGCAGATGAGGCTGATATTTAAATTGGAAGAATGTGTGAAAGAGAATGATAGATAAGTAAATAAAGATAAATTGACAGTTAATGATTATTGGCAACATAAGTGAACCCAGTGGAGTAATATTTGATATATTTTTTAATGAAAACATATATTTTTGCTGGTCGTGAAACCCAGGTTTGATTAGGCTATACATGAGGTGGTGAAGATATTAAGATATTCATATTTTCATGAAGAGATCCCATGAACCAAAGCTTATAAGATTTAGATAGTGATGCTGTAAAATCCCACGAGTCCTGATGGATGCTCGAATAGCAGGGTCTGAGGAGTAAAAAGACATCACCTTTGAGCAGACGACGTGACCGCCAGAGGTCCTCCCATGTGATGTGACTGAAGCCTGACGGACTGAGCCTGTCTGCTATGGCTCCTCCTGCTTCACAGGGACGGGGAGAGACGTAACAGCAGTGCGGGGGAACGGCAACAACACAGCGGTACGTTTTTCAGGAGCTACGGCTAAACATGGCAGACCGTGCAATGCTGGAGAAAAAGACCTAGATTATGTACCCGGAGACGCCTCTTCTGCTGTGAAGGCTTCGACGTTTCTTCAAGATTACCAACACCCCAAATGAACTCCGTCAGAGCAAGTAACGTTAGCAGAAGACCCAGGCGAGTGTCGAGGCCGCGCCCGGTGCAGCCGGAGAGGAACCCCCAGGAAAGAGGTGATGTTAGCCGGGCTGGTGTTCGCTGATCAGAAAGGCTTTTTTACATGCTGTGCTGTGTTGTGTTGTTTAACTAGGTCGTGTGTTGTGTATGCCCCAAATGCAGAATGCACACAGGAGCAGCGTTACGACAAAACAGTAGGGGTCTAACAGCAGGCTCGAAGTGGCGCTGTGCCGTCAGGAAACACCGAGGCTTTTGTATTAGCACTTAGCATTTAGGCCGCGCTTTGTTTTGCTTGATTTTTGCCCCGAGTCGGCCTGTCTTTTGGTGTCTGACCTCATACCCCCGCAAATTTCTGACTATATGTTCGCCAGCGATACACTTATGGTGTCACTGATAAGCGTTAGACAAAAATAGCTTTTTTTCGAGGATGACAAACGCAGAGTAGGACACATAAAGTGGGTTTGCCAGTTGCCGTAGCATGCTAACTGGACCTAGCATGTGCTAGCTGTTATTATTATGCTGCATTCACGTTCTAATTAAATGCTTGGAGATTCCATAATTAAGGAGCTATTCTTTGACTTTCAATTTCTCCGCGTTCAGTACCACATTAGTTATTAAGAGTAAGTGTGAGAGAGGGTACATTTTAATTTTTTTATCAAATCAATTTTTGTCAATAGCAAGAATATGGGGGAGGTTTACTGACAACACTAATGGCATTTTGAGAGACAGACAATGATGTACAGATAATTAGAAATATTGTAAAAGGGAAGATGGGGGTGGACTTTAAACGGAGCAGCAGTTGTGAAAATAACATAACCTTCAAATGCCAAGCGTGTTTGAGATTTTTGGGACTGAAGATTGTGCAACAGTATTTATTTATTCATTGTTGTCTTGTTTTAATTATTATTATAATAATACTAGTTTCCCGATGCGAAATTGACTCCAATTGAGGAAAGAAATAGGCTCTGTCATTAATAACTTAAGTGTGCTCAAGTTTGTTGATTTAGGATTAAATAGGAAACTGCATGTACAGTAACTCATGATCACAATTTTACACTTAATATCAATTGACAGCATCTTAATTCTCAGTCAAAAAATTATCCAGTTGATTTTCTAAAGCTGTTCTGCCCTTTGTCAACATACAAAATCTTCGGGTTTTTAAGTTGTCATGGTTTGGGGAAGCCTTTATGGAGATATTTCCTATGAAAAGCTATTTTTTCCGATTTTTCCGACATCACTTGAATGCATGGTTAGCATGTTTGGCTAGCGATGTGCGTGTTGGCGTTATTGTATTTAAAAGCCACCGTCTGCTTACCTTTTGCGAGGTTCAAATACAAATTGTGTTAATTTAATCAATTTTATGAATGTAGAACCGTTGTTTATGCTATTATACTTTATCATTCTTTTTCTACAGTAATGCCGTTTGACAACAGATGGTGTAATGTTACAAACCGAGTCCTGGTTGTAATTTTTCAATGTAACATGAGCGAGGATGATTTTTATCACAATTGCCACGACTGAACTCAATACAAAGGAAACACTTAATGTGTGCACACTGATCAATGACATTAGTAATGAGCGTTTTAACCTGAATCAACAATTTTGCACTGCAAAGCCTGCACTGCTGTGTTTTATAGAATGGACAAACTATATACCATACGGATTTTGGTATTTTATTAGTGGCTGTGGTTGTTGTTGTGCACCAGTGAAACCTTTTTATATTAAAAACTTGACAAATTGAGGATCATACTTTTCATGCGTGACCAGAGCTTCTTGTCCTCAAAGGCCACCATTGCTTAATAGATGGAAGGGGTGAGCAAGGGAGCATTTCAGTCTGCATCTGACAGCTATATGTTGCCAAACCTTCCCATTTATGCACACTGTGTAAGTGCCACTCATGCCTCTTGTGTATATTCATAAAGTTATGCTAACACATGCGTACACAGGAATAAATTTCACTTTAATACAAATGGTAAAAGAAAGAGAGAATGAAATCACCCTCAAAGGCGTCAAATAAACAGAAACCAACCATTAGAATTGTAATCCTCACAGCGGTAGGAGTTTCCTTGAGTGCTCAATCTCTTTGAATAAATGAATTTACTCTGTCAAAGGGCTATCCAGATGTCCTCAGCAAAGCTCTGTTTTCATATTGAGTTTACATTAAGTGCCAGAGTAACGGCGCTGCAACGGTAACTTTCCTATTCCCACCTCCCCAAGTGTATGCGCTGTGAAATTGATGTACATTTCTGCTCATAAATATGTGTGTCATGGACGGGAGAACTTTTATATCGTGTCAGTATACTACCTTGACTGTCAGAGTGTCATGCAGACAGTGTTTGTAGTGGTTACTGGGATAGTAGCTGGGAGTCATCTTTGCAACCAGAGCAACAAGCTGAGAGTTTGCATCTCTCATCTGCAGTGGCTATGAACTCATCATACCGCTGTGAATAATAAGTGTGGTTTTGGCGGTTTCTTGATTGAATCCCCTCTTGAAAGGATCAGATTTTAGAATATAAAGCTGGTGCTTCTTCTGCTATTTTTAGGGTTAAAAAATGTAGTAAATCCTACATAGATGATTGTCTATCTTTGCTTGTTGTTATGTATTGCTTGATGCTATCTGTTTATACTATTTGTCATTAACTGTAAGTGATCATTCTGCATTCAATAAACATAATTGATATGGTGAAATATAAAAAGCGCTTGCTCATGTGTGTACATCTGCAATATTTACATGTATTGCCTTTATTAAAGCATTGCAAACTCATGCCCTTCCAATATTTTCTCCACTTTCAGATGAGGACGTTCCTGCAGATATGGTCGCAGAAGAATCCGGTCCAGGAGCTCAGAACAGTCCCTACCAGCTTAGAAGAAAGTCTCTACCCAAGAGAACAGTGTGTCCGACGAAGACAAACATGGAGGTACATGTTCCAATTAAGACGGATAGGAATGTGAAGATAGTGAAGGTGAATATTTGATCTACATGAAACACAATGAGAAATACTGACATGTCTGTTCTGCTTCTTTTTGAACCGACAGGGTGCATCAACTTCAACCACAGAAAACTTTGGACACCGACCTAAGCGCCCCAGAGTTTCCGGAAAATGTCAAGATTTACCAGGTAATGAGGAACACATTCCACAAAGGTGCATTCATCACCGAGGTTATTTCAGTAAGGTCACAGCTTAATAACTTCTCCTGAATGACGACAGCGTGGAAACTCTTGATTTGATGTGAATAACTGTAGAATAAACAGGAAGTTTTTCCTGTTTGGCTGTATATGGAGTGTAATATGCTGTTTACAAATAATGCCATGAGTAAATGTTTTTTTTTTTTTTTTTGATCAAGTACAAGATTAGAAGTTTCACTTTCATTTTCACAGTGAGACCTCTAGCTTTCCTTTCATTTTAAGTCAAGTTTTGGGATGCTATTCTGGGGTATTTTTTTTGCACTGCCAGTTTTCAAGCGCTCTCCTCGTCTCTGACAAAACATAATCTTACAAAATCTTAAACCAGGCCCAAAAAGTCTTTCAAAATGGGCAGCTTTGCCAAAGCATCAAAATACATGTTTTCCCTGTGAAGTGGCATTTGGTTCTGGCTTTGTGGTGTCAAAGTAAAAGGTCACATCCCCTGGTTATGAACACACTGAAGCTCTGATTCCCTCCGAGGACTTGAATAAATTCGACTGTCAAAAATACTAAAGCAATTTTTTTGCCTGTAAATGATATGATGTCAACAGCACTCGGTATTTTGCATGTAGAATCATTACTGTGCACCTAAAAAGCAGTGTTAAAACAAGGAGTTAGAGGCAGGTTTTTTAAACGAACATCAGCAGATATAACCTTCATCTCTCTCTAAATCCCAGAGTCCCATAGAAAAGGTTCAGACAGACAGCTGCACCGCGCTCAGTCCAACAAGAAGTACCCTGTCTCACTGCTTTCATATCATCTTTGCTCTTCAGAATTGTAGTAAAATTAACTTGATTATTTTTTAATCAATCTGAAAACATCTGCAGAGCATTTATGTCATGCAAAAATCGAGCCAGCAGCACCATGTGTAATTCTGCGATTTATTTAAACTGACCGTTTTTTGTGTTGAGGGTCAGGGCTCTCAATTGTCACATGCATTTGCTGCACAAAGAAGTTAGTTTGCCTCCGTCCACCAACAGCACAGACACAAGAATAAACAAAGTCAATTAATGTTTTTTTAATGATCTCTTTCCACAACTCATCTTGTGTTATTCTAAAGCAGTGGTAAAATTTGTGCTCATTTTTCGTCGGTTTGTTAAGCAAACAGAAAAGTTCAGTCTCTGAATACTGGTGATTGATAATTCACTATAAAGGCAGTATTTGCATGGAAATGCATTAGTCAGAGCTAAAAGAGAAGCCATATAATTACATATGGTCACCCTAATGTATTTAATCATAGAGCATCTTTTGCAGTGGACCAAAATTAGCATTTTCTGGGAGCCTGATGTCTGTAGTAATTTGTTGCTGCTGTCCAACCTGTACTTTAACCCAGTTTTAAATAAACACATTATTCTAAATCCACCATCCTCTTCCTCTTCCAGCAGCTCCAGCCGAGCAGTATTTGCAGGAGAAGCTTCCAGATGAGGTGGTGCTGAAGATCTTCTCGTACCTGTTGGAGCAGGACCTGTGCCGTGCAGCATGTGTGTGCAAACGCTTCAGTGAGCTGGCCAATGACCCCATCCTCTGGTGAGACTCTTTATGTTAAAGATTGTTTGTTTGATCACAGTGATGGATAATAGCATCTTGTCCAAAAGTACAACTCTGAAACCTCAAACTGGATCTGAACTTGGAAAATTAGGGCTGATCAGCTGTAGATTTTAAACACAGCCTCCTCTGCAGTACGTTCTTCTTCCCTCGCTCCCACTCTTAAATCCAAGTTGATGAAAATAATACTGGATCACAGATTTGCAAATTTATCAGAGTGATGGTTCCATACTACTTTTATACAAAGACTAAACAGCATTAAATTTGTTTTTCAGGAAGAGGCTGTACATGGAAGTGTTTGAATACACGCGGCCCATGATGCACCCAGAGGCAGGGAAATTTTACCAGATAAACCCGGAGGAGTACGAGCAGCCAAACCCGTGGAAAGAGAGCTTTCAGCAGCTGGTAAGAATCCTCATGTGGAATAACCGGTTCATTCATTTCCAAATGTAATCATGTAGAAAAGAAAACACCATCACACAGCTTTCAGAGCATCCGCTCTGCTCTTATTGTCACCTTTATGGTCGTTATCTTTGATGGAAAATATGTTTGAATGTAGGGATGTGTGAAGCAGAGAACATAAAGTGTTTAGATACAGATAGTTATCCTCGTGTTCGGTCTGACTCTGCTCTGTTGCTCCCTCGTCCACTTTGTCCACACTCACTGGTCGCATTTTCAGAGGCAGCATAGAGCCAGACATCTGGAGAGGAGTTAATACGGTTTTACTGATACCAGCGCTGATATCGTTTCAGCTTATTGATCCAACCCTTTATCAATCCCTGGGGATTTTCTCTTGGGGAGAAAAACAGGTCTTCACAGGGTTTCTGTGTCAACACACATTTTGTTTGACTCTGCAGAGACGCCTTTACATGTCAGCTGATTGCAGATACAGCCTCTGATTGGTTGACGAATCAAAACAAAGATGGTAGCCTCAGTCTAGCATAGTCAACAACAGAAATGACCTAAAATTAACTCAAAAATCATCACAGGTTACCTCAGTTTATGTGAGATAGGATCCAGTCAGTCTTTGGCAATACATGGATCTTCTCTCTGGATCTGCTCTGTGCGGATTGATTCCTCACACTGGCATCCCTCAATAATTGAAACTGTGTGTGTTTGCTGCGGAGGGCTCTGAATTTCTGGAACTGATAGGAAACGCAGCAAAGCCAGTGGAAACGCACACACACGGACTAGAGTGAATTCTATCAGCCCTGCTTTTTATATATAAGATCTATGATGATTATGATTGATTGATTGATTCATCTTTTTTCCAGTATAAAGGTGCACACGTGAAGCCAGGCTTTGCAGAGCATTTCTACAGCAATCCAGCCAGATACAAAGGGAGAGACAACATGTTTGTAAGTGACTATTTTTGATGTTTTTTAAGTATTTTACTGACCTTTAATGCTGCAGACACTCACCTGACTGTGGATGTTTTTTTCAAGTACTATGACACCATTGAGGACGCTCTCGGAGGCGGTCAGGAGCCCCACTTTGACGGCCTGATATTCGTCCACTCTGGTATTTACACAGATGAGTGGATCTACATCGAGTCGCCTATCACGATGATCGGAGCAGGTACGTTTTAAGTAAAATCACGGCTACAATTTCAATGTTCTTGCTATTTTCTCCTATTAATCCAGTCTCTCCGGTTGTTTTCTAGCTCCTGGAAAAGTAGCAGAGAAAGTCATCATTGAAAACACCAGAGATTCAACGTTTGTGTTCATGGAGGGCTCAGAGGATGCTTACGTTGGATACATGACCATCAGGGTGAGATTATGTTCCTCTTTATTGGCGTTTGGCGGCTGCAGGTGGAGTGTATTTCAAACATTACCCAAGTGATGCTGTATTGATAACTGTCATCGTCCTGCAGTTCAACCCTGATGATAAATCCGCTCAGCACCACAACGCACACCACTGCTTGGAGATTACAGTCAACTGCAGCCCCATCATCGACCACTGCATCATACGTAGCACGTGCACAGGTAAGCTCCTTTAGCGTTTGAGTTCACATGCAGCATGCCCCCCAAGTTCCCGGTGTGCTAAAAATCTCCCTCTTGTTTCAGTGGGGTCAGCGGTGTGTGTCAGCGGCCAGGGTGCTTGTCCCACGATCAAGCACTGCAACATTAGTGACTGTGAAAACGTTGGTCTTTACATCACGGACCATGCCCAGGTAAGACGCAGCTTCCACTTGTGGAAAAATGAAGATTTTGGAGTGTGAAATGTGTACAAATACAAAACTTGAACATGTTTCTCTGCTCAGGGAATATATGAAGACAACGAGATCTCAAATAACGCTCTCGCTGGGATCTGGGTGAAAAACCACGGCAACCCAATCATCAGGCGGAATCACATCCACCACGGCAGAGACGTGGGGGTTTTCACGTTCGACCACGGCATGGTGAGCTCCAACTTCTAAATTCCGAGACACGCAGTGATGCTACTTTTCTTTACTGATAATTTCTTGCTTCCCCGTCTCTTTCCAGGGTTACTTTGAAAGCTGTAACATCCATAGGAACCGTATAGCCGGTTTCGAGGTGAAGGCGTACGCTAATCCGACAGTGGTGCGATGCGAGATCCATCACGGTCAAACGGGGGGAATCTACGTGCACGAAAAGGGCCGAGGACAGTTCATCGAAAACAAGATCTATGCAAACAACTTTGCCGGGGTGTGGATAACGTCAAACAGTGACCCGACAATAAGGTCAGTTCAGCTCCGTTATAAAGGTCTAAAATGAAACTGGTACTGTTTTGAACTTGATGTGTTGAACTAAAATTGGTCCCCTTATCACAGGGGGAATGCCATATTCAACGGTAACCAAGGTGGCGTCTATATTTTCGGTGACGGTCGAGGCCTAATCGAAGGTAACGACATCTACGGCAACGCCCTTGCAGGAATTCAGATCAGGACAAACAGCTGCCCCATCGTCAGACACAACAAGATCCACGATGGCCAACATGGTGGCATCTACGTGGTAAGTATGAGTAAATGTTTTTACCCATGGGATCACTCCGATGTTTCGTTTATACCTTTAGATTTGTAGGCATGTCTCATATTATTCAGCAGTTCAAATTCCGTTTCTTTCCAAAGATAGCAGGGATTCATGGTGTTATTTTTTCCTCATTTCACAGCATGAAAAAGGTCAGGGCGTCATAGAGGAGAACGAGGTGTACAGCAACACGCTGGCAGGTGTGTGGGTGACGACGGGCAGTACGCCAGTGCTGCGGAGGAACAGGATACACAGTGGGAAGCAGGTAGGGTCACAAGTTTAAGGATGAGAAATAAATGTCAAATAAAAATGCCCCATAAAGGCACCCGTTAGCCGTATGAATGTTCACGTCTGAATGCAGGCCACTCTGCTCAGTTACTGTTTGATGTTTTTGTTTGTTCTGATCAGTCGTTCATCTTTTGATGTGCTGTCCTGGCATGCATTTTCTTGAAAAATAGATTTTATGTGAGAAAAGTCCAGGTTCAATCAAGGTCAGAAGCACTCAGGCTCAGATCTATGAAAGAAATTTTTGTATTTCTATTCCTGGAGGTTTTTTGAGTCCTACAAATGGAGAGTTGTAGAGTAACAGATCTGGAAATTGTGTGTTATTATGTCTGCAGGTTATTTTCATATGTTTTGAGACTGCCTGTTACATTTCTTCTACGACAGGTTGGGGTTTACTTCTACGACAACGGCCACGGTGTGCTGGAGGACAATGATATCTACAATCACATGTACTCTGGAGTTCAGATCAGGTTTGTGCACAATGAAAACGACATTGAAACTATTTCAGACGACAAACAAGACTACTCTGTTTTGTATTGCTTTCTCCAAGTACATTCAGTTTTAAGTATTGTCTCTGTGTGTGTCCTTCTCTCTGACAGGACTGGCAGCAATCCCAAGATCAGGAGGAACAAGATCTGGGGAGGTCAGAATGGAGGCATTTTGGTTTACAACTCAGGTAAAAAGCTGAGAAGAGATTTCTGCCGTATTTAGTCACAAAGTCAAGATTGTATTTTACCTTCGAGGTTGTCTCTTGTGTTAAAAAACATGAATTTGTGTTTCAGGCTTAGGCTTTATTGAGGACAATGAGATCTTTGACAACGCCATGGCAGGAGTTTGGATAAAGACCGACAGTAACCCCACTCTGCGGAGGAACAAGATCCACGACGGACGAGACGGCGGCATCTGTATATTCAACGGAGGAAGAGGTAACATCGAGTTCTGTCCCCTAACAATCTATTCTGTTAAATTTAGTTTAAAAAATCTCGAAATATAAAGGTTAAAGGCAAATATCAGGTTAAGAGGTTGGATGTCAGTACTCGATGTTGGATAAGTTTCAAATCTTGAGGCAGATGTTTGTTGGAGTTGTTCCCAGGATGAGACCGTGACTCAAGAATTACTCAAGTGGGACACAAGTCACAGATTGGTGAATCTCCTTAAAATAAATCATTGGCGAAATACTTAACAGATAAAAACATCCTGCTCGGTTCTGTTTTTACTCTAGATTTTCTTGTTCCTTTTCCTAACTACACGAGCCAGATTTGGGGTCCAAAACAAAATTCATAATAATTCATTTTGGGTGGAGAAACACTCATTAAATGACAACAATTACTTAGCATGGCAACAAGGGAAGAGTTTTTCAGAGAGCTGACTTTACGAGTTAGATTTTTCACCTCCCTCTTGTTTTTGTCTTTTGTCAGGTTTGTTAGAGGAGAACGACATCTTCAGAAACGCCCAAGCAGGAGTCCTCATCAGCACCAACAGCCACCCTGTCCTGAGGAAAAACAGGATATTTGACGGCTTTGCAGCAGGTGAGTAACCCCTCAGCTCAGGCTGTATTTTACTCATTAACACACCTTTTTATTGTTAAAATCTGCACAAAAATAAGTGTCCTAGAGTGAATGTATGCAAATGAAGTGGTTATTTTTTATACTACCAAGGTATTGAGATCACCAATCACGCCACAGCGACTCTGGAGGGGAACCAGATCTTCAACAATCGCTTCGGGGGATTGTTTCTTGCATCTGGTGTCAATGTTACGATGAAAGGTAAACACTAGGTCAAAAAAACAAATCCTAAAGAAAATTGCGGAAGTTTCCTCCTCCTCGTGAAATACGTCATCTGTTTTTTGTGTGTTTTTGTTGCAGATAATAAAATAATGAACAATCAAGATGCCATTGAGAAAGCTGTGAGCAGAGGTCAGTGCCTGTACAAGATTTCAAGTTACACCAGCTACCCAATGCACGATTTTTACAGGTAATCTAACCATCCTGCTCATCATAAAGGAGAATAAAGTTTCCTCTGTTGTTTTTCTGCTCTGTGATCATTATTAACAAAAACACACTCTGGGTTTTCGCAGGTGTCACACCTGTAACACAACAGACCGAAACGCCATCTGTGTGAACTGCATCAAGAAGTGTCACCAAGGACACGACGTGGAGTTCATCAGACACGATAGGTCAGTCACTCTGATCCAAGATCCACTCAAAAAAATTTTGCTGCTCAGAGTGAAGTGAATCAGACCGTGGGCTGTGTCCAAAATCACACACACACATTCTTGACTCCCTAACCATGGGAATTTCATGACGCGGACTGTGCACCAGGCTTATCAGCATAATGGAAAACCACTCAGACACAGCTCTCACCCACCCTAACTGAACAAAAATAGCTGTTGCATGACTAAAATGAGCAAAAACAGCACAACTTATTTGATACTGGAAGTATTCTTAACCAATAGTTGCAGATATTAGGAGCAGAAATTGGGATGTACAATAATATGTAGCTATAAGTTGAGCTGCAAACATCTGAAGTTAGGCTTTTACCTGATTTTGCTCATATGTTGATGTTGTTGTGTTGTACTTACTCTTACGAAGTTTGAGTTTTAGCTGCAGTCCTTTCAGAGTCAAAATCAAGAATAAATATGACCAAAGGAAGTCGGCTTCATCTCAGTTTTTATCTGCATCAGACTTCAGGGACTCTCCTCTTTAGGATAAGAGTATATCAGATACAGGACCATGACCAGAGTCGGAGCTGAAAATGAGTTTTGAAAGTTGTTCCTAATAGGTCTCAGGAGTCTTCTGGTCCTTGTTTTTCTCCTTGAACGGCCTGTACTCAAACACCATCCTCTCTCTCTCTCTGCAGATTCTTCTGTGACTGTGGTGCAGGGACGCTGTCGAATCCTTGCACGTTAGCTGGAGAGCCGACTCACGACACGGACACACTGTATGACTCGGCTCCTCCTATAGAGTCCAACACGCTGCAGCACAACTGAGCTCCGGTTTGTGCCTCTGCAGTAACGGACACCAGACACTTTACGTTGTGCAGCGGAGGAGGGAAACCCAAAACTTAAATACAGATTCACTTTCACAGAGCATATACAATGACTTTCAAAAAGACGTGGATATGCTAAAAGGAGACGTTCGGAGAAAAAGTCTGATCAAGGATGCCTCGCTTTTTCTTTTTCCCTCGGTTATTTGTCAGAAGAGACCACGTCGGCGGGACGGAGCAGGGAGGGGGAGCTGACTCAGGGTTTGTGGGTGTGTTGGTAACGTGAGCGAAAGAGAGAGACGGACGGAAAGCCACCGAGGCTCGCCTGCTTTTACGAAGAGGATCCCCGCAGTTATGTACAGACCCAACGCTCAGTCAGAAGAGGCTCATCTTTATTCATGCGGAGGCGAAAAAAGCCCCAAATTCAACGATGCTTCCATCACTGAGCAACAAACGTGCTCGTACGAAAAGTATGAGGAAAAACGACCTAGCACTTCAGCTTTTTTTTTTTTTTTTCTCAAGACAACTGTTGAGATTTGATTTTATTGCTTTTTGTGTAGTTTTGTATTTTCATGCAAAAATCTTACTGTACTTGAATGTCTTTATTTTATTAAATGTGTTTAAATTTTTTTTTTTTGGTTATTATACCCTAGATTGCTGTAATTGTACATGTCGCAGTATCTAACTTCTTTCTGTGAAAGAGATCAGAGAAAAGAGAGGAAAACACTAAAACACTTTCTCCAGCAATGTTGACTCCTTCAAATCTGCAATATAGAAAATAATAGTAGATGCTGAAATGTGCTTTCGCAGGACGACCTTTTGGCCTTTTCTGTTTTGGGATATCCCCTCAAACGTGTGTTTATGCAGGTTCAGTGACGTTTCAGTGGGTTTTTACATGATCTATGCATTTTTTCTGTTTTTATCAGCCTCTCAAACACTAGCGGGGATGTTTTTAAGCATTAAGACAATTTAAGGACATAATCTGAACCCTTTGTATTCTAGTTAAGACACAGCCCTCTCTCTCTATTTCTCATTTCCCTTTAAGTGTCCAAAAGAAAAACCAAAAGGACGTCTTGTGAAAGCGCAGATCATTCGGATGTGTATTTTTTGTTTGTTAATGTTGCTGGAGAATTTAAAAATGCTTTTACTCTACTGAAGCTGAGACACGTATCTATATACAGCGCTATATTGTTTCATTGCCCTCCCTCCTTCCCTCCCCATTCATGTGTACTGGTGATTGTGGGTTCTCATACAGACTGAAATGTATGCATGTATCATAACATCTAGACTTAATATATTGTGAAGTATTCAATAACCGTTATGTAGGCGCTAGCGTGAATTAAAAGGGTTTAATTTCCTAGATGAAACATTGTCATTTTTTAAAAATAAACTTTATTAGATCATAACAGTAGTGTTTTTTTAAGTACTGAGGAAACATTCAGCAGGAACGAAGAGTAAGTGTACAAACTAAAGAGTGTTCAGTGTCTGAACCAGAGAGGAAAAGTGGGTGTTCCCCAGGGAGGCACCTTCAGCGAACTGGCACAGCTTCCTATAAGAAAAGGGGACAAATCGGGACACTTATGAACACAACTCTTAGATCCTCTCTTTTTTTTTTGTTTCTGGAGAGGGATTACATTCATACGCACTTGAAGAGGCGGAGGCTGATGGTGCTTTTCTCGAACTCTCGGGCCTTCTTGTGTCCTGATTGGATGACCTCCTCGGGCAGGTTGGCGAGTCGAGCGGCGTTGAAGCCGTAACTCTTGGGGCACGCCCCGGAGATGAACTTGTAGAGGAATGTGATCGTCTCTTGACTCGGGTCCTCGCATTCGTTCTCCACCATGCACGCCTTAGAGGGACGAATCAGAGAGGAAGTTTGAATTTGAATGCAGGAGAAATTAACAAGCAGTTGCACACAAACAGTGACTTTTCTTATCTGCTCTAAATTTTCTGTAGGTGCAAATGAACTTTTTCCAACATGCAGCTGAAGAAATAGGAGCTCAAATTAGCAGCCTGATGATAGGAACATTAAAAACTACAGAATTTGAGGAGTTGAGGATCTAACAAATGAGTAAGCATCAGGTAAATAAGACTGCAACATGCACAAGAACGTTGCTGCAGTCAGGAACTTCAGTTCGAGGTTATGACAGACACGCACACCCACAATGAGGACAGCAGGTGTGCTGGAGATAACGACACAAACGACTAGATTAACTCTCCGTTCAGCAGAAACATTACCGTTGTTGTGATGCTCAGTTGGAAAAAACTTGCCTCTTTGTGATGAGCTCAAACTATGATTATGTAACCATGTAAGAACACGACAAAACCAAAATCCATACTATCCTCTCAAACCAACACATCATGAGTCTGTTTTGAAGGTGTGTCATTGGTAAAACAGTAAAACTGTGTTCCTGTCGAACTGTTCTGGTTCAGTACAAACTAAAACTACAAAATAATACTTTAAATCTAAAGAAACAAAACAGAAGAAGGGTAATTAGTGTGGGAAGTTTAGACTTCTACACAAGCAGTCAACAGAAAAGTTTGTTCCCGACTCCACTCATCGTAAAAACCTTCGACACAGATCTGCCAAAATCAGCCCAGCAGATGTTCCATGAAATAAAACCTCTCCCAGCTCTGAGCGCGCTAACATTTCCAAACTGTCCTCTGCCTTTTGCCAGCAGCACTCCGCGTTTAGAGTTTCTGTGATGTTGTACTCACCATGTGGCCCAGTCGCACAGCGGGGTTGTTGGCGTAGTCCTCCACCAGGGAGTGGTAATGCGTGGAGAAGAGCGTGCGGCAGCAGATTTTCTCAGCGAGCTCCTTCACTACGGCGCTGGCGATCGCTGTGCCGTCATACGTGGCTGTGCCTCTTCCTGCAAACGGGTCACGGAAGAATGAAAACACACAAATACAGGACTAAAAGCATGCTGACGAGACGGTCTGTGACACACACTCCAACTACAATGCGGTATGAACTCACCTAATTCATCCAGAAGCACAAGGGAGTGTTTGGTGGCGTGGTGCAGGATGCTGGCGGTCTCACTCAGCTCCACGAAGAAGGTACTCTCTCCTACAGAAAACACAGAGATGTCAAAATCCTCACCTTCAAAATTAGATGCTCGATTCCCTCATAGATATTAAAGATTGATTTTTATGGGCGCCCAATTAGCGCAGCGCTACACGAGCTCCTGATGTTACCTGCCATGATACGATCAGAGGCCCCCAGCCGAGTGAAGACCCTGTCCACAGGAGAGAAGCGAAGGCTCTCAGCAGGGATGTAGCAGCCCAGCTGAGCCAGGATGATCACCAGTCCACACTGAATGAAAAAAAGAGCAGCAGAGTACGCCAATGTGAGCCAGCAGAGACTGGAGTCTCACTTAGTGGACTTAAACCCTAAAATCACCCACCTGTCTCATGAGAGTCGACTTGCCGCCCATGTTTGGTCCCGTGACGAGGACGCAGGAGGCGTCACCGGTCACCTCGTCGTTCTCGCTGCTTCCAGGGCAGCCGATGAAGATGTCGTTAGGAATGAAGTCGTCTCCGAAAAAGGTCTTTGTGACACAAGGGTGGCGGGATCCGGTGAGGTCAAGGAAGGGTGCGCTCTGATCATCGCTCTCGGGTAGAACCACCTGTGGCCTGGTCATCGGCCCGTCTCCACCCTCGCTGTACCGCGACAAGGCGAGCAGCACATCTGAAAACAGGAAGTAGAAACTGAAGAGGGACTGATGGAATTCATGGATAGAAAAATTGCGCGAGTTATCTGCAAAAGAAACCTTTGTCTCAGCCTATGAACAGAATTACAAATGTGTAGTTACCGAGAACCGCCATGCACTCCACGCCGGTCTTCCAGTCTCTGTAGTTCTTGTCAAAGTTGTAGAAAAGTCTCCTCATGCAGTCCTTCAGGGCCGCGTCTCTCTTCTCCTCGAATCCCTGCAGCTCTGAGAACAGACGCTCCGTCTCCTTGGTGACATATCGCTTCCAGCCTTTCTTTGTGGACTTCACCTCGTACTCCTCGGGGATATTCCGCTCTGAAATGCTGTCGGGCACCTCCATCTGGAAGCGGTTTCGCCCAGTCCCCCAGTAGGCCATGTTCTTACAGCCCAGTCTCTTCTTCTGTCTGTCCAGGTAGTCCTGCAGCTCCCGCTCACAGCTCTTAATCGAGGTCAGAGCTTGGTCGTACTCCGGGTCGAAGCCGGTTTTAGGGGTTATGACGCCTGTAGTGCGAGCTTTCTGGTGGTCGAAGGCGGTCTCCCAGCGCTTGAGCTCAACTGAGAGGTCAGGGAAGAGGCCGTCTTTTTCAGTTTTCAAGGTGACCACTTGGCGGAGCAGTGAGGAATGGGAATCGTTTGCAACTGGAGTGAGGACAGAAATAATCTCCTGCATGGTTTTGAAGCCTTCCAGCGCCGCGAGGAAGTCTGCGATCTTGCGCTTGCTGTAGGTGACCTCCTCGTAGAGAACGGCTCTGCTGTCTGGATGATCCTGGCCCTTCAGAGGAGTGCCGATGCTGTGGATCTTACTTAGAAGACGCTCCAGATCTGGGAGCTTCTTAAGCAGGTCGGAAACCTCTGTGGCCTGAGCTGGAGCGCCCATCAGGTCCTCCACCGCGTCCAGCCGGTCCTTTATGGATGTGGGGTTACACAGAGGAGCACAGAGCCACTGCTTCAACAGCCTCTTACCAAACGGGGTACAGCAGGTGTCCAGTCTCTCCAGCAGAGTCCCCTCTGTCCCTCCTGAACCATTTTGGAAGATCTCCAAGTTTGCCAGAGTCACACCGTCGAGGACCATCCTCTGCCGAGTCTGAGCAAAGAAACTTGCAGGTCCTGCAGATTTCTCCATCTCCACATCGACAGGGACGTAATCCTCAAAGTTTGCCATGGAGAGCAGCTCTTGATCCACCAGACATTTCTTCAGGTAGAAGACGCAGCCGCCCAGAGCTGACAGAGCCAGCTCGTAGCCTTCTTTAGGGGTGAGGCCCAGAGAGTCGCTGTCAGATGTCATATTTTTCAGAAGAGGAGGGAGAAAACCGTTTCCCGTCCCCTGATCTTTCTCGTCTCTGAAGTAATCCTCCTCTGAAAAGGTTTTGAGGGTCTTCTGGGCATCCCAGAACTGTGTGCTTGCAGTGAGTCCTTCCTGGAGAGCAGAGGACAGAGAAGCCTTCAGTATTTTGCGGGTTTCAACAGACGGGTTCCCCTTTTCGAAGAGCACTTCAGCCGGGGGATAGTGAGCGATCAAGGTGCGCAGACGTGAGCAGTGACGGTCATCCGGGAACTGACCCACATGGAAATACCCCACAGAGGTGTCCACGAAGCAGACTCCGTAAGTGCGGCAGCCACCTGAGCTTTCCTCCTCAGACTTCTCCTTCAAACTCAGCAGGAACTTGCTCTGGCTCTCAGAGGGCGCACCGTCAAGCACGCTGTAAGTTTGGGTTCCCCTGGTGATAATCCGGCACACTTCTCTGTTAACAACCTTGTCAAACTTTGTAGGCCTTAACATGGTCTTACAGCGAGCTTCCATCATCTCTGGGGTCTCGGTTTGCTCCACACGGGCCACTTTGTAGCCTTTCTGGACCAGCACATCAGAGAAACGACCAAAGCCGATCTCTGGGAAGCCCGAGTGCGCCCAGGTCCCCTTCATGAATGTCAGCCCCAGCTCGTTGACTCCGACCACAGCGTCCATGTGATAGAGCTCGTAAAACTTTCCCACTTTGTAGAAAATGACGGTATCAAACATCTGGGATTTGAGCTGCCACCAGCGACGCATCCCCGGAGTGTTTCGATTCAGGAAGTCCTCAGGCACGTACAGGCTGGAGGGATCGTAGTCCTCCTCTGACTGTCGATGTCTTGCACCATCTTTTCTCTTACCCTCCTGCAACCAATCCAGCTTCTCATGGTCCCAAACTGTGGCTCCTCCACCCCCACCTGATCCGTTTGTCTGGCTCTCGAAGTTTTCAGGCGCAGAGAAAGCAGACAGACGAGATTTCGTGTCGGCAATGACGGCTGCAGGGGCTCGTTTTGGGGTATTCGCCGGGATGCAAGGTTTCTTCGCTTTTGTCGAAGACGGCTTTTCAGCGGGGCGTTTACGCTTTACCGGCTTTACAGGACTATCCGCTTCTGACTCTTCCATGCTCTCCTCTTTCTCCTCCTCTTCACTGCTCACTGTGGCCTCTTCCTCCTCATCCTCGCTGCTGGACGCAGCCTGATCCGGTTTGAATTCCTCGTCTGATCCGTCACTGTCTGAGGCTGCGATTATGCGACGCCGTTTCGGTTTGTTTCCTTTGTCTTTCGAAGCACGGGACGGACGTCGGCTGACCTTTGGGGACTTAATTTCCTCATCCTCATCTGTGACACTTTCATCTGTCAAGGTTGACTTTTCAAGCTGGAGATGTGACATGAAGGAGAGGAGATTAGGGCAAATTTAGACCTGACAGATCACATTAACTATCCTGTAATACTTTCACTAACACAGAAAATGAAGCGTTTTAATATTGACAATTATGGTAATTTATCCTGGTTAAACTCTGAGTTTGGGGTTTTATTCTCCAGAGTTACAACACTGCCTAAAAACTATGATGCAAACTCCACTTAAACAAAAACTAAAAAATACACACGACGGAAGTGAAAGTAAAAACACATTACCGTATTTTTCGCACTATAAGGCGCACTTAAAATCCTTTTGGCTTGTTGGAGCACTGAAGCTACTGTAGCCTCGCAGAGTTATTGAATGAGTTCAATAAAGTTTGACTTATCTGACTGTTTTGTTTGACTTAATGCGCTTTATAATCCGGTGCGCCTTATGTATGAAAATAGACACGTTCATTGATGGTGCGCCTTATAGTGCAAAAAATATGGTATTAATTTAGTGCTAAATCACCTCCATTTCTTCATCCTCTTCTTCCTCATCAGATGGATCCATACAGAGCGGCATCTTCAATCTTTCCTCAGCGCTGTCAGACATAACTTTATCAGCAAGCTCCATCGCTCGCCGGATCACAGGTTTGGGGCTGAAATACACCCCACCTGATTTAGCTTCACTGCTGCCAGAGCCTGTGAGCCATAAACAACAGTGTCAGGTGGGTTACTTTACATGAATGACATTATAGACATACTGCAGGTTTAAATTTACTATCATCGTAAATAAAAGTGGAGCTGAAGTTAACCTTTGTATTCTCTGACATATTTGGTGCTGACCCATCCTCTGGTCGGGGGCTCATCAAAGAAATGGACATGTATGCGCTGGTCCCGCCCCCTTCCTCTCATCTGCTGTCCTGTCAGAGGTTGAGGTACCACCATGCATGGCCACCAGGGGTGTCCCTCCAGCTTTGCCCAAACAAGAGCTCCAGCATTTAATGAGCAGGTGGAGCTGCTGAAAGGAGAAAAAAGAGTTAGTATTTTAGGGATTTCATTCAGGCTGGTGCAAATTTTATTATGAAAGTAAAAAAGTTCTGAATCATGATTTGACCTGAATTACAACAAATTAGGGAAAAAAGGAAGAAACGTGAAAAAATTCGCAGACTTGCTTGTGATCATAAATGTAGTTTCTGCTGTTATTATGAGAAATGGCTGTTTAAAACGGGCAGACCCCATTGCGTAAGATCAGACTGCAAGAAATCATGACAAGGATGGTTAAATTGACTTTCAGCAGGAGTACTGTACATGCATAGTGACATGAGCACAGCAGGGGGCTGCAATACAAAGAGTAGCTCACAACCTCAAACAAACAAGCACAGAACGTAGTAGCGGAGAGTGGAGTAAGATGAGCGTTTTTTTTTCATATTTCAGATCACTACATCAAAGCAATCACAGTTTTGTCTCTAACTAGTGTATCTGCATATATTTCAAGATGTTGTGAATCCCTGCAAACCAAAAGAATGAGAGTAAACATAACTGTCTTGATAGTATAGCATGCCAAAAAAAAGTGGTCTCCTATAGTCAACTTGCCCTGTGTACGGGGTCACATGATCAATTTCTTTTACCATTTCTAAGCAACGGGGGTGGCTCAACTTACCCCAATCTCCCCTAATATAAAAACAACCCACACGTGCTGGATACACTTCCTCCAAGTTGCTGTCATGCATTTAGAAAATAAAAATCTGACCAAAACCTCGTGCAGCTTCATTTGCCAAATTGTCAAATAAGACCGAAAATTTATGATCAAAGTTTTACGGCAAGATAAAAATCAACTTTGTGGTGTGCAAACTTAAACACGCATATTGCTCATGGGTTGTCGGTCTACTTGCACACGCAGCTTCACTTTCAACTCCTTTCTCGCAAAGCTGCAGAAAACGTGCCTCCAGGAAATACACGGCTCCCTACAACAACACATAACTAACCTTTGTTTGGCTGCAGGTGTTTTATCTCCAAAGAGCTTCTTAAATCCCCCTTTATCAGGCTTTGGGGTACTTTTCGGTTTGTTGGTCTTAGCTGGCTGTTGGGGGGTCTGCTTAGCTTGCTCCTTCGGGGAAGAGTTGGACTTTTCCACGGATGAAGGCAGGTCTGCTTCGGCCGGAGAGGGACTCGGCTTCGGCTTGGAGACCGGCGGCGGAGACTTGGTGAAGAAGTTGAAGAGGGAGCTCTGCTTCGCCATTTTTCTGAATTAATAGTCTTTTTTTAGTTGATATTTCGAGCTAATACCTGGGCCTCTCCTCATCACCTAGCACCCAGCTAGTGCGAGTGCATCCTCTTCGCGGGAAAGACACACGCAAGATTTAGTGGGCGTGTACAGGAGCTTCCTCCAATCACGAGCCAGAATACTGTAACACGGAAATCACGTGGTGTCAATACGGAAACATATTGGCGCTAAATTTGTATTTTTTTCTCTCAACTTTATTCGCCGTACAGAGGATGTTAACCTGTGCAACACAGTAAGTATAGTGTACTTTTTTCTTTTGTAAACTCCTCAAAATAAAAGTAAAGTGCTGAAACATTTTATAACAACATTAAACACTTCAGTGAAGTCCAAACATGTGTTTCCACTCTATAGCCACAAATAATGCTCAGAACAGCACCTAACTTCATCAACAGTACATAAAGGGTCCCGACCATAGTACTAGCTACCAAACATCTTTTTAAATGTGTCTAATTTCTTTAGCAAAGAAACTAAACACAACTCACCTACTTTCTTCCAGCAGCCGCTTGTTTGTTGCGAGACTTCAGGCCCATCCATTACAGACTACAGCGGGGTGACGCAGCTCAAGGAAGAACATTTATGATCATTACTTTATAATTTCCTTAAACTAATATTCATCATATTAATCATTTTGCACTGCAGACGTGGTAATCCTTCTGCCTTGGCGTCTCGGATTGCATTTCCATGAGAAAATGATCATAAATGTTCTTCCTTGAGCTGCGTCACCCCACAGCAGTCTGTAATGGACTGGATCGAGGTCTCGCTACAAACAAGTGGCTGCTGGAAGAGAGTAAGTTAGTTGTGTTTAGTCTCTTTGCTAAAGAAATCAGGCAAAGTTAAAAAGATGTTTGGTGGCTAGTGCTATGGCTAGGACCCTGTACTGTTGATGAAGTTAGGTGCTGTTCTGAGCATTATTTGTGGCTATAGAGTGGCGTTTTGGTTGAGCGTGTGGCTCTCTATTGCTTTTGTACGATCAATACTAAAGTTGGTACTAGAGAAGCAAGCGGTCGGCAACATTCATCTCTCGAGGGGGTGTCTAACTCGGTGTTGCAGTGTGTTTGACCCTAAATTAATCCCTTTAAAACCTTGGTGAGGAAATAATTTAAGGGGCTTTATACATTTTTCAGTTTTTCAGTTCTGGAAATCTATGCAAATTAGTGCACATTTAATTAGATATTGCCTCATTTACATATTCCAACATAAAATTTGACAAAACTTGTAATACAAAAAAATGTTAGTCTTGATGTAAGTTATAAACTTGGGAAGTTTCATGGTGATATCTGTGAGTTAAAAATTTTACCCTATTTACCTGGGGCATCTCCCCGGGCTTCCAACCCATCATGGACACCGTCTTGAAAAATACACCTTTCTAGAGGTCAAACTTTGGTAAACTTTTAGTATGTTAATAAGGACACCTAATACTATAAAAACAGTTGAGAAACCTTATGTTAGAATTTTTTTAGGGTTAGATGTTTTTTTTTTCATAAATGCACCCGCCTAATGGGGATGCTCAAGTGTACATGGCAAATGGTTTTGAATTGGTAATGAAAATGCTCTTTAAAATGGAAAACCCATCACTTGTCATCCACTAAATCACTGAAAAATTGTTTCAAATTTGGTGTTTGTTGTCAAGGCTTTGGCTTTTTAGTTTGTACTTTTCATTTACCACCAGCAGAGGGCAGCAGAGCACTGAGAGTTTCAGATCTTTCTCCACAGTATTTGTAGTTAAACTGTTGCAGGGTTGTAAAAATACTGCATTTTCTTTGCAAAACTGCTTGATCAACTATTCGACAGAAGGGTGAGCCAAGTACTTTTTATACCCCAACGGCTCAGCATTAATCATTCACGATAAGAACAGCAGTGAAGTATTTACTTTGTGTTGTTTTTTTATTCAACATGATGATCTGTTACACAATTTGATCAATGAGAACAAAAGGAGCAGTATGCAGGGATCCAAGCATGAGTCAGCATTTTACCAACAGTCCAGTGGGCTTGTTTCAGCAGAAACTATCAGATGAAATATTACAGCCTACCATGCAATGTTCTTTCATTTGTGAAGCATGCAAACTTAAAAACGCTCAGTTGCACTTACTTCTGTTAAAGCCAGGGTTTTCAGAGTACACACATGAAAAAGATAGCTGCGCATAATTAAAATAAGCAAAAATCCACCCACATGTGACTCTTTGGCTTATGAGGGTGATAGAAAGTCTTTAATTAAAACAGCATTATGAAACTGAAGACAGCTGTTTTATAAGAGGTGTCTGAAGAAAGTGAGACTAGATTTGTCATTATGATGAGTCAGCACAAACAAGCTTTCACACCAGTGTCAGCATCCAGGTGGTCCGTGTTTATCAAAGAACTAGATATGGAAAGTTGTTTATGGCCGATGAGTATACAGTATGTTAAACAGAGTGTGTGTGTCTATCATAGAAAAGCCTTATAACGAGAATTTCTGCAGAATAAATCTCACTGTAGGTGTCTTAATCCCCACTGAGAAAACAAAACAAAACTATATAGCAAGATAGAGCTAATATAAATTTATAAACAAGAATATAATCCCTTTGTTACTTTCATTATCTTTCAACCGTGCAGAAAAGCAGCTGAGCCCAGACTCCTCAGGCTTAAGAAATTTGCGAAACAGCCTCATACCTCCCTTATATGAACACAGGAACTACACAGAAGGGCCCTGTTTTTTAGATAATCCATATGTAGTCATGAATAGTCGAGGCAAGCTCAGGTGTCAAATACATGACGAAGTATTAAGGCCACATTAGAGACAGAAAAGTGAATCACAGATCTAGTATTTTTCTTATTTGTGGGTTATCACAGTGTTTTCATATGAGCCGCATTGGCTGAAGTTTGCTGTGTGACTTTACGCTGCATTGTTCCCGTGAGCTCTGTTGTAAATTTCAGGGTGAGACCGCAGCAGAAGATATGCAGGGAAATTCATCATGAGCAAGCAGACTGAGGTGATGATGTTTATACGGTGCAAACATGAAGGAGCGACTCATAATAAGATGAATAAAAATGTCCTTAGTTGAAGAGGGAGAACAGTGAAAGTGTCTCCACATCTGTGCGTTTACATATGATATATCGATACAAATGCAAAAAACTGTCATCACAGCACAGGTCTCTGTGGCCCCATCTGTTACCATGTCGTAAACTTCACACCGTTGCTTCTGCAGCATGCCTCAGACTCAGCTCCTCCTGCCCACACACCCCTCCTAGTCTGACAGGGAAATCTTCACGCTGTGAGAGATGTGTGAGCAAGCAACTTCTTTATCTGCACTCCTGAAAATTTCTTGAATTTTCTCAGGCTTTTACCAAAGTTGCTCTTTTACATTATGAAGAGTGTTCTTGCATTTAAATCAGTGCAACCCGCAGAAATCTTCATTGTTCCTGTCTTGGAAACGCTTCTCCTTTGATCTCAGATGTTTGTATTCTCTCTGTTGCATGTTGCTCTTCGTCATCACCACCGCCCACAAGCTCGTGTGGATTCTCTCGGGTATTTCCTGCTGAATTTACACATCAACTCACACTGACTTCACTTCACACAGGAATTGTCTGAGGCAGCTGGCAGAGAGGGTCCTGCAGAGAGCTTGGACAGCTAATACAACTGTTGGCGTTCTCACATGCAGCTCATCCCTAAAAAATTCAGGATTTTATTTTTTGTAGTATTGTTATTCTATGACTTTTACCATTTTTTTTAAAATGTTAACTTGAAGTCATTCAACAGTAATTTTCTTCAATTATGAGGCACTGGTTTGACTGACATGTTGGTTTAGCGTGGGTGCTCCATGTGCAGAGGTCAGCAGCTGGGGTTTGATTCTTCTCATTCTCATCTCTCTCCTCACTTTTTGACATTATCCACTGTCTTAACTCTCTCAGTTTCCACGTTTACATGGGCAAAATTCCTTGATCCGATTAAAAATTCGAGAGATCGGATAATCTGAATCCACTGTTTATATGGGTACAAAATCAAATAATCCGCACCAAGTTTTATTCAGACTAGAACCATTTGGACATGCCCAGAGTTGTCTGATTTCGCTAAAACAACCGCAGAAGAAGAGTTGTATTTACGTCTGTGCTGTCAACAAACCAACAAACGCTGTAGTGGCTCACTCCATCTAGTTCAGGAGTTTTTTCTGATAAACTAATAAACTAAAACAAAGAACTGATGTGATAAAACCACTTAAACTTAGACCATCTCGCTATTAAATCATCTTGAATCATCCCACATTCAGAGCAGGTCATTACGCTGTATGTACGCCTTGTTATGTTTTCGGGGGAGCAGACACGACACTGCCAGAGTGTTAATAATGAAACCTCCTGTAATGGCCTTAATAAACAAGCCAAAGGCTTGAGTCAGGTTAGAGAGTCACGATGGGAATAAGTGTTTATATGGATGCATTTCAGAATAACAATCGGCATTAACCACCCCTCTCGATCAGAATCCAATTTCTTTCCGAATGAGCCGAATGGGACCAGAATCTTCCGATTAACATGTTTACATGATGCATTTTTATTTTTATTCAAGTATTTAATTCCGATTATTTGTGCCCTTGTAAATGCAGCTAATATAAGCATAAAACCCCCAAAATCAACTAAAACAAAGAACTGATGTGCTAAAACCACTCACTGTGAACAAAAACTTAAACCAACTCACTAATAAATCATCTTGAATCATCTCACATTCAGAGCAGGTCTATGCTGTTCTCTGCAACAGTACTCTGCAGGCGTATCATAAATCCATTAATGCAAGAACAGGCAGTTATAACAATTTCTGCATGACTATACATTATCAGTGATGAAATCTAAACAAAATACACCGATGCGTACCAAAACAGCCTAAAAACTATGTGCGCTTTTGTGATTTATTAGATTCTAAATCAAAACATTCATCTTCTGGGCGAAGCTGCGTTTTCTTTCTCTGTTTTGCATGTGAACCTTTTTTTCCCTGCAGTATTTGCTGTTTACAGCAGTGGCTCATCTTGCAGCCCCACTACCTCATAAGCCTGAGGTAGTGGTGCAGATTAGATAACATCGAGATTCTGTTTACTATTAATGCCAAAGGTTTGCTC